CATTTTAGGTGCTCGTACTTCTATTTGGAATAATCAACAAAAATATAAGTGGTGATGATGTATTTGATACATCTTATATTTGTTTTTTCGTTATTGGTTACATACTAGTTTATACGTCTACCATAAATACGGCTGGCGAGGTATGAATGTAAATTTTGTAGCTGTATTTTGCAATTTTTTTCACTAAACAAATAATCTACTATAGATAATGGATATTTTGATTAAAGTTGAAAATCTGTGGAAAAAATGCAGAACTCACACTGAGAAAAAACTGATCTTGAAAGAAGCAAAAATTGGTTTTATTGTATCAATACTTTATGTTGGTTTGTACCGATTCAATCAATGCTATCAATTTGTCATTCTATTTTAACTTCCTTACTAAGATTTTGTTATTAGCTCCAATTTTTTTCATAAATCGTGTGATTTTTTTTCTGCATTTAAACTTTTAGCTCCATCTTATAAAGTTTAGATAACTATTGATTAGTTAACTGTTGATGTAAATTTTTTCACAGGCCTATTAACGGTAGCTTTTGGTGGATATACTTTCGAACCAATTATTAAATATTCAATAATAAATGTGATGTCAGTAAATAACTCGGTTGATAGAAGATTGTGCGTTCCTTGTTTTTTTACTAACTTTTTGAAGGAATATTACTGGATAATGTTTACTTACACAGTGATACTTACTTTTATATTCATTGGAACAATCAGCACATTAAATTATACACAAGTTTTTACGACGAAGTTCGTCGTAGGAATGTTATCAATCATAGGGTAACTGTTAACTGTATATATTTTGAAATTAAAATACTCAGCCAAATATGAGTTAATCCTGCGAGTTAATTTTGTCAGTGAAATAGATACTATCATTCTGTAGCATATTTTTTATATGATAACTATTTATATTTTAGAGATGATATGATTCACGTGCATGAAAATTTGAAATCTACTTCCGTACCTTTAACCAACGAGCAAAAAATTAAAATAATCAATAGAAGGATTTGCAACAATATTCGCAGACACCAAAAGACAATAGAGTTGAGTACTCTTTAAAAATTCATAAATGGAAATTTATACTTATTTAAAAAAATATATCAATATCACGTAACGACTTTAATTCAACCAAATCGTTTCAGTTTGTTTGGTACCTTACAAGTAATGACAAAAAATAAGTATTTAATTATCGTACTCTTAATAATCTTGGAATTAAGTATAGCTGGATTCTGGGTAAGTGTATCAATGATCAAAAATATTTTTTATATCACAGTATTTTCAGTATTAAAATTAGGCTGTAATAAAATAAAATACTTTCCTTTACAGTTTATAGTTGTGATTCAGGAAAGTAAATTGTATGCTTTAAAGATGGTTGCAACGATGATAGCAACATTGATGATCCTGTTATACTTAATTTATTCAAGTCAGGACTTGATAAACGCCTGGGATCGATTGAACAGGGACTGGTATTTAAATGATATAATTCAATACTACATGATAAAAAAGGGAGTTATATCCGAAATACTTTTTCAGCTACGGCGCCAAATGGTACTTATTGCCAGTTAAAGAAAGACGTTTAATACTTTTAATGATTTTGCGAACTGAAACCCGTTGCGTATTGTCGGCTGGTCCTTCGGTTCCGATGAATTATGAAACTTTCGGCACCGTAAGTTATTTCAATTAATCACATTTATTCTATAATTTTGTTGGGTAAAATTTCAGATTGTTTAATTTTTTTATAGATATTAAGAATGGTACTATCATATTTAATGGCTCTGTATCGTATGCTAGAAGATTAGTATTTAGAATAGTACAGAAACGCTGTATTCGTGTGACATATGTCCTTTTTTCAATATAAGTTAGATTAGAATTTGAATTTTCTACGACTTTGTCACATATGTATTAGCCGTTTAAATTCTAAATAAAGATATTTTTCATATTTTAAAATTTTTAATTTTTGTAGGTATTGTGATAAAGGTTTTTTGATAATTAAAAAAATACCATATTATACAAAAGGGGAGTAAAAGTAAAGAATGTTTTAGATCATATGTAATTTGTACCTGAGACAAAGCTGAGATTTTTGAATTTTCATGCAGTGTAATGATGTTTTATAAGATTATTCTGATTTATTAACTTACATTGACTGAACACGTTTTTCCAAACAACTTAGTTTTCAGAAACAAGGAAAATAACGTGATATTTTTAAGTAATAATTTTATATATTTATCTATATCCGTATTTTCTACATCCACGAGTCAAGTTCAACTTAAAAAATATAAGCCATTTCGATTATTAGGAATTTAAATATAAACAAAAGGATCATAAAAATGTTCTTTCAATATTTGATTTTGTGTTATAACCATTTATTTGAGAAAATGTTTAACTCAGAACTTAACGATGAAAATGATAAGATTTTCAATTTTGTTTACAAAAACGTTATTTTTAATTTTTTAATAATAGAGTAAGGTACTATATCAGTTCATAGTAAGTGGACGCGAAGATCAGTTCGAATGTGTTCTTTAGTGGAAACTTTTGGAACTTTCAGAACTTATGGATTTGATTTATAATTACGTCAAAAATAATCAAGTGAATTTAAAAAAAAAAAAAATGAGGAATTTTATTGGACTTGGGATCACCGAAGAAAATTATTCACCATCAGCCTTTGTAAATTATATAATCATGAAGCGAGGCGCATTTGCTCCTCAACCAATGAGGTCGAATAAAACGACTTCACATAATTTTTTTAAGAAAGGAATTAAATTTTTTTTTCGAAAAGAGAATTGCGCTCAATTCACCCTCTTGCCCTAGTTTGAGAGTCTTAAAGTTGACTTTTTTTCAGGGGCTTCTGAAAAAGAGTTCTATGGTATTAAAAAATTTGGAAAAATTTATGGGTGTTGCGAGGGTGTAATGGGCGGCGAACGCCTTGATATTTTCTCCGATAATTCTTCACGCGTGCATTAGTTATTTTCAAAATTTCACCTCGATAATACAATTTTTAGAAATTTTAGGTGCTTATCCTTCAATTTGGATTTCTCAGTAAAAATTTAAGTAGCAATGATATAAAATATGGATGAAAGAAATATGAAAATTTTTTTTTAACCCATTAAGTCCCAAGAGGATTTTTTTTCAACCCTTTATTCGTCCACTGTATTTTTGGTAAAAATGGGGTCAAAAAAATATGCGAGTAACTAATTCTAATGTAAAATTTAATGCCCATTTAGAATCTGATCTCAGATTTTCGAAAAAATGATCAGGTCAAAACTTGATTTTATAAAAAAAAAAAAAACGTTATTTCGAAAAAAAAATTTTTTTTATTTTTCGAATTTCCAAATGAAAACCATTAGAAATCTTAGGGGTTTCGTGAAAATATCGCGTCTTCGATATCTAAACTGAAAGTTAGCGGGGTACCGATTGAAAAAATTAATGTTTAAACACAAAAAATGGCGGTTGAAACTTGCAAAATTAAATGAAAACGTATAGAATTTTTACTCAAAAACGAAGGACTTGAGAAAAAAGTGTATTTTTTAACTTTATTTTCTTCAATCTAAACCCCACTAACTTTTAGTTTAGGTATCGAGGACACGATATTTTCACGAAACCCCTAAGATTTCTAATGGTTTTCATTTAGAAATTCGAAAAATAAAAAAAATTTTTTTGTCGAAATCACGTTTTTTTTTATAAAATCAAGTTTAATTTTTGACCTAATCACTTTTTCAAAAATCTGAGATTAGATTCTGAAAGGACATTAAATTTACATTAGAATTAGTTACTCGCATATTTTTTTGACCCCATTTACACCAAAAATACAGTGGCCGAATAAAGTGTTGAAAAAACGTCCTCTTGGGACTTAATGGGTTAATAATTGATTTTCTACCGACGGTTGACTCACTAGAGAAAAAAAACTAACATTAGAAATTGAAAATAAAAATAATGAAATTTTCTCTTTTGATTACAAAATGTGTAATTTTTTAAATACATTTTTTAATTATAACATTAATTAAACTAAGATGTTATAAAAGTTAGTAGTGTGAGAATTCTGGAAGTTCATTTAAAATATGTTTCTCAATTCAAAATTTATCGACTTAATTAATAATTATTTTAAAAATAGTCAAGTTTATTTTTATAATTGATGGACGATCAATTATCATTTCAAATTGTTGAATCATTTTTTAGATTTTGAATATGATAATATAACATTGAATGAATTTTCATCGCACGTTAGAGGATGGTAGTCGACATCTCGTGTGTAAAATTAACAAATAAAGCGTTTTAGGCATCGAGCCTAGATTCCTTGATAAATTTTTTGTATTCCAGGTATGATTTATTCATTTCCCAGCAATTTTCTGCATCTGCTACAACGCGATATAAGTAAATCGCCGCGCAGCTAATCGCCCAAAGCGCGTTGAATAATATATAAATTTAAACCACTCGAAAAAAAGCTCTAGTGCGCGCATGGCAGCGAGCGGTACATAAGAGGCACTGAAAAAAAATCAAGTATTTTTCAATTCCATCTATATACATATGTCGTAACTTAAAAGTTTTAAAGTACACTAGAGAGAAAGCGGAGGTTTGTGTTATAGAAAGAATTTTCATAACATCGAACTGTTCGCGCGTGCGCGCCGCCGGATAAGACTAGAAGGCAGTAGAAAAGATTTTTTTTTGCCGCTTGGCCCTTACCACCACCACCACCACCACCATCCCTACACACACACACACATATATATATATAATTCTTTTCTTTTAGCACGCGGGGGTACTGTTGCGAGTATCAAATGGAATTCGGTCGCGAGCGCGCGTTCGAGATCAAAAGTTTACTTTTACGAGTTGTCGAGAACAGTATAGCTGGGGTACGTAGTAGCAGCAGGGAAAAAGTATTTCAAAAGAAAGGAACGAAAAAAAAAGGAAGAGAGAAGCAAAAGTTTTCTGTAAAACCATTGCTATTAGGGGCTTTTCCGACGCGATCATCCCGCACACTGCTATGACATAATACGTACGACGCGACGTACCTCGTTTCTTGAGATGATCCTCGACCATGACGGCCGAGATCATGAAGACGTTGCCGACGCTGCCGATCACCGCCAACGACAGGAGTATGAGCAGCCGCACGACCCGCGACCAGTCCGACGACAGAGTCACGGGCGATATGTTGAGTCCCGCGGTGACGTCCTCGTCCACGTTGCCGCCGATCCCGACGACGACGCCGCTGCCCCCCGAGACGGCCGACGAAGCGACGTTGCCGCCACCGCCCACCGCCACCAGGCCGTCGCCGACGACGCCGCCGGTCGTGGTCTCGATGCCGAGCAGCTTGGGCATACCGGCGGCTGCGGCTGCTGCGGCCGCGGCGGCCGCGACGATGGCCGCCTGAGGTATCGACGTCGTCGTGGCCTGCACCATGGCCGCCGTGGCCGTGGTCACAGCCGCGCTCGCCGTTTGGTTCATCATTTCGATCGGTATTTCGATGTCGTGCGCTGTTTGACGATGATTATGCGTGCTGCGTCGACGGACGGACGTACGTTGTTGTGAGAGAACCTGCGATATATACAAAGTCATTTTGTTATTATTGATTTAATCTTTGATACGATGTAGTATTTCATGTAAATTTTAAACAGGATGAGGGTATCGAATTGATGTATAAAATTTATCAAGATGTGACGCGGTTCGCAGCTGTGTCAACGGCCTCTTGCACAAAATAACGCGTGCTCGCGCGACGATGATGAATAAAAAAAAAAAAAATTAAAACCCGCAACCCTCTCTTCGGTCGTCGAGGCATTTTGAAAGCCACTTATACTCGTATATAGCTCGCACACGTGAACTTTCCTCAAACACACACACACACACACACACACACACACACACACACATGGTACTATGTGAAACCGAAGTCATTATAGATTTTTGTCGTAAACTGCTGCGGCGCGACGCGCGCGCGTACGATGCTGAATTTGCGCTATTTACGAGCCCGAATTCGATCAGAGAGCTACCCGACGATGGGTTAAAAGCATAAAGGGTGCTCGAACTTGCTGCAACTACTACTACTACTACTACTACTAGCTAGCTAGCATGAGCTATGTGCTCAGATTCTCTATATCCTCACCAACTATTCTTCAAAATGTGCTTTGGGAAAATTACGAATTCCAATTAATTTTCTGTTTTATTTGGCCTCGGGGTCTGTAGAGACGCGGATGATGACTTCGAATAAATAGTACCGTGACCCAGCACCTTTTCTCGTCGCTGCTATCGTACATTTAAAAACTTATGTCACCTACTGAATATCAAGTGTCAATGACACTACGTTATGCGTCTATTTCTATGACACAATTAAGTCATCGCAATTTTCCAAGAGAGATAAAAAAAAATAAGAGAAAGTGATTTTTACTTTACTTTTACTTTTAGATTACGTGCCTGTAGAAAGCGGAAAACTGTAGGCTTCAAAGCTCGTGTAATTATTGACTTGAGCGGAGCTTCATATACGTATGCAAATCAATTTTCACGATAATTCCCCATCAAAAATTAACTTATTTGTTTTGACTGTAGGGCTGAAAAACTTAGCCTTGGGTGGAGTTACATAAAAAATTTTTCGCCGTCTCTTCCGCCGGCAAGTTGAGCAGGTCGTAGAGCGACAGGCCCTCCTCGGTTATCTCGATCGTTTTGGCCTTGCTCACGAACGTCTCGTCCTCCTGCCACAGAAAGTCGAGATTCACCGTGGACTTGAACAGATCGTGGCGCGCGAACAGCTCCATGATCGTCGTTGCGTCGCTTAGCTTCAGCTCGTAGCCTCGTTTTTCGAGACGTTCCTCCACGGCCAGAGCATTGGCCGCCTGTCGGAATTTGAAACTCGGTCCGACGAGTCTCCGACTCGCGGCGAAGTAACTGCTCGTCGGGAAAACGAACGCGCTCGTATCGGCGCCACGAGCCAGGAGCGCGTCGACCACGTCCGGCATGAGATTCGCCACGGCCCATTGAAGCGGCGTCCGGTTCAACATGTCTACGGCGTCGATCACGATCCGCTGCTGCTTCTCTTGGCATTTCCGGAAAACGAGCTCGAGCGAGTCCACGTCGTTGCGCTCTCTCTTGCAAACGATGTGCAGAGCAGTGAATCCCCCGATATTGACGGCGTTCGGATCGGCGCCTCGCCTCAGCAGCAGCTCGGCTATCTTCGAGTTGCCGTACGGCGAAGAGCCAGATGCAACGGGGTATTGTCGTACTTATCCCGTAGGTCGACGCAGCGCAGGGTTTCGAGTTTCTCGCTGCAGACCCCCAGCAACGACTCGCCCACATGACCGACCGAATTTCGCTTGCAGATCCCGTGCAGCGGCGTGTAGAGTTCGTCGTTGGGCAGATGCAGTTCGGCGCCGTGTCTCTGCAGCAGCTCGGCCAGCATCGGGTCGGCGGTATCCAGGGCCAAGTGCAGCGGCGCGTTGCCCCGCTTGTCCCGGACGTTCATCAGCAGCGGCTTGTTCGGCGGTTGACTGGCCTCGATCAACCAGTTGGCCAGGCGATAGTAACCGTCGTTCTTTCCCATGCAAACGACGTGCAGAGGCGTCGCACCGTCGACGTTGATCGCGTTATGATCGGCGCCGTTGGCGAGCAGCAGCGGAGCCACCATCAAGTGGCCCATGACCAGCGAGCAGTGCAGCGGAGAATCGCCCCGCGAGTATATCCGGGACAATTGACGTCCACGCCGGCCTCGAGAAATCTAGTGGCCTCCTTGAGGTGCCCGTACAGGCAGGCCACGTGGAAGTGCGTCAGACCGGTGTCGTCCGCGTAATTGGCCCAGTACTTGTCGTAGATGTTGAACAGGTCGAAGACCTTGACGGAGCCGTACGGATGACGGCGAAAGTAATGTTTCTTCGCCCAGTGGTGTATCGGCGTGCTGCGACGCAGCACGGGCTTGCCCTGCTCGTCGCAATCCGGCTCGTCCTTGTAGCCGATGAGTCGATCGCCGATGAGCTCTCGGCCGGTGAACACCGTGTCGACGAAGCGCGGCAGCTTCAGAAGATAGTCGATGTCCTGATTGCTGAATACGCGACGGAGATCCAGGGCACTGCGCGAGCACATGGGACTGACGTGTATCTAATTTGAGTCACGAGGTCCAAAGCGCGCGTGCGTATGAATCAATACCCGTAGACTCCCGCGGTTTTCGGAAATATTAAAACTCTCGCTCTAGGTGTCGTATGAAACATATTTTTAAGAATAAAAAATATATTAAAAATTGAAAAAAAAATAATAAAAGGCGATTGGTCTGAATAAGGTAAGACAATAAATTATATTTACACTGAATTTTTTTTTTAAATATTATTTCCTTTTTGAGCACAGCCATTTGTTTTGAAATATAAAAATTGGATGTTTAATTAAATTTAATACTTCAATAAAACCCAAAAAAATTATTTTCAATGATTTGCCCAGTAAAGCGTGGATCGCAGGTAAAATTATTTATGAAAAACTTACTGGACTTGTTACATTTAAGATTAACATTTAAATTATTCTATTGCAGTTATATAGAAGGATTTTTGAGAACGACATTAGTTCAAAATTCGCCTGTGAAAAATTTAGAATTTTTTGCTAGCGCTCAATTCCTATATTATTACCATCGATAACTCGACGAGAATAATGTATAAAAATCGCTGAAAAAATTCAAGTCTTTTGATTACACACGAACTACTTTTAGTTCGTACAAGCATTCTTGTCGGGATAGCAAATAATCAAATGAAACTGTAATTGCAGAAAGTTTGATTGAAATCAATGGCCCATGATTTTTCTGCGCGTAAAATTTTACACACAGATTGACTTGCAGCATTAAAGCTGTTACGTCAACAACGAGTTGTTTTTCAAGCTTATATGGACCCAAACCGAGTAAAATTATCGATATTAGGTAAAATTTTGACTTGCAAAAAACGCTAAGTCATGAGTGTCGTGAACGACAACTGAAACGTGACACATTAAATTGTTCTTGTCTGTGTTTAACTCATACAATTATTTTGACTTTGCCACTTGCAGATTTACAGATACACAGGTACACGACACCGAATGGTAGAGTCTTAAATTAGTATTATCAAATTCGAAATTGTCGAAAAGTGGTTCAAATCGTTTGAAACAGTTCTATTGTTATTTTCAGGTCTTTTAAACAGGGCTTAGTAATATTCAATATAATTTTAATAGAAAACTTTTGAACGGTCATCGTCTTTTTTTCTTTTTTTTTCCTCTTTCTCCTTGCGTATAAAATTCTTCACTATATCTAAAATGCACCGAAACAGATGCAGGCTACGAGTCAAAGTAAAAGAGATCCGTCCCGGTTCAACTCGCGGGGGGATGCAATTTGCGATGTATATATCCCGCGCGACGTCTAACGCACGTGGGCCGCTACAATACTTATACATACGGTACAAGTATACATCGTTATGGGCACTATAAATCGTAGGATCGTTAATAGCCCCGGCGTCGTAGTGCATATAGTACACTTATATATCACGATGCCGCTGTGTGCGGTGATTTTTTTTTCAATTCACCCTGCGTGGCCCCATTGTTATTTTTCGACTCTTAAGATTTACTCCGGCTTGTCTCCTTTCGTTTTATTTTCTTCAGCGAGCGAGTAGCTGCAACAGCAGCAACAGCAGCACCAAATAACTCGGTGTATACGTATATTGTGTTTACGTGTAGTAGTACTCGAATGCGCCTGCTTCGGTGAGATAAGCGGGTCAGTGTCCGCGCGTAGATACATACATGTGAGTCTATGTGTGTTTGTGCTGCTGCTGCTGCTGCTGTTGCCTCAGTGTGCCCAGGCAGCCACGAAATTCTTATTATAAAACACAGTGCACAAGTGCGTTCAAGAGCATGTATATAACATCGTTGTATGTATACACTGCAGTAGCTTCGCGTATATCATATATATATACAGTGTATATAAGCTGTATAGTGCTGGGCAAGAGAGGGAACCGGCCGAGCTTTAATATTATTATACACGTTGGAACGGCTTTATAATATTCAGCGTCGAGAGGCTGCTGCACTGCACTGCACTGCAATCCCTATATGCGGCCGCAGAGAGAGAGAGAGAGAGAGAGAGAGAGATAGGATCGATGCATGAATAAATTTGCAATCAATGTTCGGCCATGCCTATACGAGAACGACGAGGACGACAATGATAAACTCGTCAAATTAACCCTATGGTTTCTGCGGCCTAAACATACATGCGAGTATGCAGGTGTTGGATGCACACACATATACACACACATTCGTATATGTGCAGCCCGAAGGTGCGGGTGCATATATTAATTTATGGATTATGTAATTTGGACGAGCCCCCGAACTGCGAAGGAGGTGTAGTGTGTAGCTGCATGTGTCGCGTCGGATATGGCTTCTGTACACACACACACACACACATGTGATGTAAATATGCCCCCATACATTCAATATTACGGAATATAAACTGCATTACAAGCTTGAGCGCCATGTGACAACGAGTAAGAGAAAGAGAGAATACAGAGGCCGAATCGATCGAAAATTCATGGGCCAAGGAAGGTTGAACACACGCCGAGAAAGAGAGAGATATATAGCTCGTCACAGTAGTGCTCCGCCATGAAATAGGCGTTACATACGATATATATACAGCAAAGCTCGAAGGAAGAAAGCATCGATCAAAATCTTGGTATAATAAATTTTTTCCTTCCTACTTGTCTCGTCGTTTTTCCTCCAGCTCGCTCATCTTTTTTATTGTTGTTTATTTTTTTCCTTCTTCTTCTTCTTCTTCTTCATACTGCTATCACTCTTATGCCGTGTCTCTTTTATTTCAATGCGCGCCGAGTTCGAACGCGCCTAAGCTAGCCCATATTGAAATAAATATATATATTTATTTACAGCTGCAGTAGTACGTTGCCCACTCGCTCACCACCACTTCTCCGCGTGGATCTCGCATTATTTCATCGCGAATTCATCAAAATTCAATGGCAACGATGAAAATATCCCTCTGGAGAGCTCTTGACTCTCTCTCTCTCTCTTCATAGCAGTTGTGCGCGCAGTGCATACATATATAATATAAAGCACGTACAGCTCACTTGGATTGCATTTGTGATGTTGCCGAGAGTACACGAACTCGAGGTAGCAGAGGACGCGCGCATATAGCAGTCGAAATGAATTTTTAAAAAAAGCACATTGCTCAATGCTGTGGGGCCAGTTGTATAGTACAGTAACTACGTTTCACATTTACGTACCGGCGCGTACAGGAAAGAGAGACGTGCCTCGTGCTACGCCGCGATATATATATATATATTATATTATAATTCGCGAGTGCGAGCAAAAAGCGGCGCGACGGCCTCCCACGCGTGTGCTTTTGGGCTGGAATTATTATTATTATGCAAGAGAGAGACATATATATGCGTGGAAAGCAGAGAGAAATTCGGTGGAAAACAATGGGGTTTTCCGCGTTATATACAGCTACATATATGCTACACACTTTTGCTTACTCGTACATATATTCGTAGCCGAACGAAAATTTAAACGGCAACACACAAACACAGAGTGGAAATTACAATCGTTCGCGTGTACAAAAGGTAATGTACGTATACGCTGTATAGTACGTATAGTTCAGTTCGTTGAACATCGTGCAGGCACATACAGAAAGCGACGCAGTTGCCGCTGTGCACATTACAGCTCGGACGCAAGTCTGCTCCGACCCTATAGCTTCTTCTTTTACTTTTTGTTTTTTACTTTTAACTCTCTCTACGTCGAAATGTGCGCTACCCTCGCGTATATATATAGGAGTTTTTCGAAAGTCGATCGGGCGAACCGGCAGACAACAGGAATGCGTTTATACTGGTTAAAGTTCACTCGGCACGGAGAGTGTAAAAAAGCCGTCGGTGCACAGTGGCGGCAGCTGCGATATATATATACGAAGAAAATATCGGTTTTCAACCGGTAAAGGCTCTGGCTGGTTGGCTGGACTTGCACATGCCACGACCGCATTCGAGAGATCCATCCTCTCTCTCTCTCGACGTGGTGGTGAAAAAGGCCAGAAAGAATTTCAGCAGCGCGCGCCGCGTTTGGTATATATATCGAATTGCGCTCGCGTTAACTCTGCATTTTATTTTTCGTATACGTATACGTCGAACGACGCATCCATTCACGCGCATACTCTATGTACTCGTCAACGCGCATTTCGCTAATGGATTTGCGGCCAAAATAGCCCCTTCCTCCATGCCGATTTTCGCATTAAAACTTGATTTCTCGTGCGGTGGTGGTCGCGACACGGCCGGCGCGCGTAACTTCGTATAAAATATTTCTGTGACCGAAAGAGCACTTGTTGCTCACGATCGCGAACTTTTTTCGACTCGGGATAGTTTTTATTCGGGACGAGAAATATTTTAGGAAAATCGAAGTTTTTATCGGTTGGATGTTAACTATGATTGCCGATCAAGTGTATAATTTTTAGGATTATTAAATTTAATCGTCAAAAAAGCATGTGCCTGACTCTGGTGGGATCGATCAGCGTTGATTAACGCTTAATGATCGAGAAATGATTATTCAAAAAATTTTTAAATAAATGATCATTATACATATTTTTTATAGTTTTATAATTTTAAATGATCTGAAAGCGATATATTTAATTATTTCGAA